CGCGCGCTGTATTCTGACTGTGTCTGGATGCATGTCTGTCTGTCTGTCTGCCCTGTGCCCTAACCATCTGCTGGCCCTGGCCCCTGTGCCCATACTTGGGCCGGCTCCCCCGAGATGGCCCTTTGCAAATACCCGTGGGAACAGTCCCCATCAAGGAAAGTAGAGAGAAGAGCAAGAAGAAATATTTTCAGGGACTGGATCCTCACTGGCGTGAGGGGTGGGGGCCTGAGGAGCAGTTGGGGCTGGGTGTGATGGTGGGGACCAGATGGGGCCCACCTGCAGGACAGGGCCTCTGAACCAGCCCACCCACCCCCAGAAGGCCAGGAGGCAGGATGCCTGGGTCTCTTGCAGTGGGTGGGGGCGGGGGCCTCCTCCGGGGACGTCACCCATTAAACTTCCTCTCTGAGCCACACAGGAAGCTAAGCCGGCCGGGCCCCAGCCCTGCAACAGCATAGGCCCCCCCAGGACCCCTGGGGAAAGGGCCTGGCTGGCAGCCCTGCAGGACCATGGGATCCAGAACTGAGTAAGCCCCCTGCTCCATCCTTTGGACCAAGATTCCCAGACCTGGGCTGGGGCCTAGGGAAGTTAAGACTGGGCAGGCTTGGGAAGTAGAAGGCTGTGGACAATATCCCCACAGGAACAGGGTCAGGACCCTCTGCTGAGCTACTCTGTGGTAACTTCAGGCCACTCTCAGCCCCTCCTCTGTCCACGAATGTAACTCCCGCCTTGAGCTAGTGAATCTGGGTGATGGTGGCCGGGTTCCAGGGGATTGTGGGTGTCTCTGAGTGGCTGAGTTGTATCACTGTGCTGGGAGGAGGATTGTGAGTGTCCCTGGGTCTTAATGTTTCTGTCTCTGAGCCTGAGGGCCCAGACCCTCTGAGTGGCCGCAGGAGGAAGGCAGAGATTGCAGGCCTAAAGACCAGGGCCTTCTTTCCTCCCCAGAGGAAACAATTTACAAAAACAAAAAACGGTTGCCTTTGAGTCATGGGCAAGTCCATGTGTTACAGAGAGGACGCCTCCAAGGGTTTCCTTGGCTGTGATCCGATGGCAGCAGGTCACCAGGCCTTTCTTGTGTGGTGCTGCTGGATGGGGTCCAATGGCCTACCAACCTGTAGATTAGTAGCTGAGTGTTTGTACCACCGAGGGACCTTAATCAGATCATAACCTTTCCAAAAACCAAATCCACGGTCAGTGAGTCCTTTCCAGCTCACAGAAATCTCACAGGTTACAGAGCAGAACTGTGCTCTTGGGTTCTCTCAGCTAATATATGGGTCGGAACCGACTCAGCGGCACTTAACAACAAAAACAACATACTGCAAACAGATAAGCACCCAACCACCAGATGAAAGGTTGGCGATCCAAGCCTACCTAAGGACACCTGGGAAGCCAGGCCTAGCGATCTGCTTCTGAAAGGTTAACAGCCTTGAAAACCTTATGAAGCAATTCTACTCTACACAGCTGGGGGTGCCATGAGCTAGAGTTGACTGGATGGCAACTCACACCCACAATCCTGATGGAAGCAGGTTACCTGGCATTTCTTCCGCAGCACTGCTGAGTGGGTTCAAACCATCAACCTTTAAGTTAGCTGACAGTCAAGTGCAAAGCGTTTTCCACCAGCCAGACTAACTCCAAACCCTCGGCCCCATCCAGGAATACCTGCACTCCTCAGAAGTGTCACTAGATGAGAAATTTGGGGTCAGTTACCAGGACCCCAAGTCTCACACAAAGATGCAGGGAAAGGGGAGTAGTGTCTTGCTCTCTTGACAGCAGAAGTGATCTTCTGATCAGACTTTTACCGAGTACTCTTACAGCCATGGTGTTGTTGTTAAGTGCTGTCGAGTTGGTTCTGACCCATAACGACCCTGAACAGGGTTTCCAAGGCTGTAAATCCTTAAGGGAGCAGATAGCCTCATCTTTTGCCCATGGAACCGCTGGTAGTTTCGAACTGCTGACCTTGTGGTTCGCAGCCCGATTCGTAACCACTACGCTACCAGAGCTCCTTTACAGCCATAGTAGCAGACTGCCTAAAGTGTCAGGGGTTTGTTGCATTACAATTGGAAGGTAGAAGTCTCAGATCAAGATGTCAGCAGAGCCATCCATCCTGTGCTCCCTCTGGAGGTGTGAGGAGACGACCTACTTTCCAGCTTCTGGTGGCTCCCAGCAGTCCTCAGCATCCCTTGGCCTGTGGTTGCATCACCCGACTCTCTGCCTCTGACTTTCTTCTCTGTTACTCTTCTCTTTTGTAAGGACACCACTCCATAGGATTAGGACCAGTCCTACTCCAGTATGCATCACGTTAACGTAACTCAAAACAACTGCAAAGATCTTGTTTCCAAAAAAGGTCCATGCATGGGGGCCAGGAGCTAGAACATCCAGATTTTTTTCTAGGAGACACAACATAACCCACATCACAGACATAATCACTATTCACCCTTATACCTGCTTGGTCACACACACCGACCATCTCGCCAGACTTACCACACAAAATCACAACCTCACACACAAACTCACACCAGTCATGATCTCAAAGCCACACACAATACAGAGTAGCACATTCTGTCCTGTCCTCACAGCTACAACACTCACCAACATGCACACACAATCAGCACGGCTCACTCTCAGCCTTTGACAACACGCAATATCACAAACGCCAGGGGTCATGCACACCCAACCACACACTCGTCCACACCCAGCCATACACTCACCCATATGCATCCACACCCAGCCACACAGCCACACACTCATCCACACTGATCCACACACTCGTCCACACCCAGCCACATACTCACCAATATTCATCCACACCCAGCCACACACTCGTCCACATTCATCCACATAGTCATCCACACACTCGTCCATACCCAGATACACACATCCATATTCATCCACACCCAGCCACACACTCATCTGCACTCATCCACACACTCATCCACACTCATCCACACACTCATCCACACCCAGCCACACATTCATCCGCACTCATCCACACACTCATCCACACACTCATCCACACCCAGCCTCACACTCGTCTACATCCAGCCACACACTCGTCCACATCCAGCCACATACAGTTGAACATACCATCACACACAAGCACCATCACAAATCCTAGGGACTACACACATAGACAATCATCATGCACACACATGCAGAGTTGCAAACATACACACACAGAAGCAAGTCCCATCCCTGCACCCTCTCAGTCCCTTCCTGTTTCGCAGGAGTCCCCCGGCTGTGTTTGACTGGTTCTTCGAAGCAGCCTCCCCACCCTCCCTGCAGGAGGGTGAGTGTGTGTGTGGGGGGGGGAGGGGAGTGGGGGGTGGTGGAGGAGCAGGTGGAGGGGAACCCATGAAAGGTGACCCAAGCTCTGGACTCACAGGCCTGCTCTTCCCACAGATCCCCCCATCCTGAGACAGTTCCCCCCAGACTTCAGAGATCATGTAAGTAGGCTGGCTCCTTGCCCCCTCCCCCTGGCCTAGGATCGCTTGTCCAGGGAGAAGGGGACTGAGGAGCGGTGGCCCAATCCAAGTGGCCAAGCAGCCTGTGTTTTCTCCACCTCCAGGAAGCTATGCAGATGGTGCCCAAATTCTGCTTCCCTTTTGATGTGGAAAGGTACTGAAGGGAGCAGTCTGGGAACTCAGGAACCCAGACACCTAGAGACCCAGAGAGTCAGACAGCCAGTGTTCTGGGAACTCAGATACCAGGGGATCCAGGTGTCGGGGAACGCAGTGATTCAGATTCCTAGAGACTTAGAGATACAGACACCCAAGACCCAGAGACCCAGAGACTCAAACCCTCCGGGGAACCTAGGAACCTATGTTGTGGTGGTGGTGGGCGTGGGTGGGGCAACTGTGGTGTCCAAGTCTCTCTCAGAGTCCCCTCCCCACACAGGGAGCCCCCCAGCCCTGCTGTGCAGCACTTCACCTTCACGCTCACGGACCTGGCTGGGAACCGTAGGTTTGGGTTCTGCCGCCTTCGAGCCGGGGCGCGGAGTTGTCTCTGCATCCTCAGGTATGGGACATGGAGTCCTGGGGACTGGGGTGATGAGTGGGGGTTCGCTGAGGGCCTGAGCCAGGGGGACACGTCTGGAGGCCCCCTCTGTCTCCTCTCCCCACAGCCACCTGCCTTGGTTTGAAGTCTTCTACAAGCTGCTGAACAACGTGGGAGACCTTCTGGCTCAGGGTCAAGTGAGAACAGCCCCCTCCCACAAATGCCAGCATCCCAGCCCATACCCTGCCCCTCTTAGAACGCCTGCCAGAGCCAACCCAAAGTCTCTTGGCTCCTCCCCGAACCCTCAGTTTGAACCAAGCCCTCTCCCCTTCCCTCCTTTCCTCCTACACCCCTGCTTTTCTGGCTCAGACACCCTGCCCCCACCCAGGTCTCAGAAGCCGAGAAACTGCTTCTAAATCTCCTGCAGCAGCCCCTGCCTGGGCCCCAGGCTTTGGTGAGGCTGGAGTTGGTGAGTAGCCCTTTCATGGCAGTGGGCCTCAGGGGACTAAGATGCTGACCTGACTCCTGGGTACCACACACATCTATCCCTCACCCCTCAGGGCAGCGAGTTGATGATATCCAACCCACACAGTATCCTGCCTACTACCCAGGGGAAGAGAATGCCGGTGAGCCGGGGCTTGGGAACTCTGGGAGGCTGGACCTGCAGGGGAGGCCAGTCCCTCACTGACTGGTCTCCACGCCAATTCCTGTCCCCCACCTCAGCTTTCCTGCTTCGTGGCCCCGGATTCTGGCAGCCTGCCCTCCATCCCTGAGAATGTGAGTAGAAACTCAGGAAGGTCTGAGCGTGTGACTGGGTGTGTGGATGAGTGTGTGGATGACTGGGTGTGTGGATGAGTGTGTGGATGACTGGGTGTGTGGATGAATGGGGTCCGTCCGCGTCCAGCGTGCCTCTCTGTTCCTCAGAGGAACCTAACGGAGTTGGTGGTGGCGGTAACCGACGAGAACATCGTGGGACTGTTTGCGGCGCTCCTAGCTGAGAGAAGAGTCCTGCTTACCGCCAGCAAGCTCAGCACCGTAGGCTGAGACCGGAGGGCAGGGGCGGGCGGGCCAGTGGGACTGAAGCCTAGCCTTCTATATGGGGCGGAGCCAGAGGGCATCCAGGCTCCACCCCCTATAGATCAAGAGCGTGAAAGCCAAATCCAAACTCATTGCCGATTGTACGAGTCGATTCGGACTCATACTGACTGGAAAAGACAGAATAGAACTTCCCCATAGGGTTTCCAAACATTCGCTCAACAGAGTGCGGATGGTGGATTTGAACCGACGACTTTGTGGTTAACAGCCCAAATCTCAGCGCACTGCGTTACCAGGGCTCATTCCAGAGTGAGATCAGCGAGAGCTAAATTCTAGCTCCACCCCCAGGGGACGTACCAGGAACAGCTGGCTGCTGGCTCCATCCCTAGGGGCGGGATCAGGCAGAAATGCGTGCTGGCTCCACCCTTAGGGGAGGGGTCAGGGAGGGGTGAATGAAGGCCACTACCGCGTGGACGGTTTGAACCACAAGGTCTGCGGTTCAAACCCACCAGCTGCTCCTCGGAAACCCTATACAGGGTCTCTATGAGTTGGAACCGACTGAACGGCGCTTAACAACAAGGAGCAATCAGCGAGGGCTGAGCTCTGGCCCCGATTCTTTGGAGGTGGGGTCAGTGGAGAGTGAGTCTTGGCTTCCCCCACTACCCCCTGATTTCTATAGGGGGTCTGAGTTTTTGTCCCCTACCCAATGCGTGAGGACTCCTGGTGTGTGGCGCTGTGGGCGTCAGACTGCAAAGCCATTTGAACTGCAAGGTCTGTGGTTCAAGCTCACCAGCTGCTCCTTGGAAACCCTGTACAGGGTCGCTATGGGTCAGAATCGACTCAACAGCTCTAAACAACAACAACAACCCAATGTGTGGCCATGCGAGTTAATGGACTGCAAGGTCAGTTTGAACCACAAGGTCGGCGGTTCAAGCTCACCACCAGTCACTCCTCAGAAACCCTATACAGAGTCACTATGAGTCTGAACCGACTCCACGGCACTTACCAAGAACAACCCCATGCCTGGAGCTGCAGGATAATGCACTGAACCGCAAGGTCAGTTTGAGCCGCAAGGTTGTCGGTTCAAACCCACCAGTCACTCCTCAGAAACCCTATAAAGGGTTGCTATGAGTCGGGATCGACTCGACGGCACTTAACAAATGAAAACAACCTGATGTGGCGCTTTAAGATAAGCAGTGGACTGCTAGCCGTAAGTTCAGCGGTTCAATCCCATCAGCCTCTCCTCAGAAACCCTATACTGGGTCGCTATGAGTGGAACTGTTCACTACAATCCCATAGCGCGGGGAAGAAGGGGAAGCAGGGGGCTGGGGGCGCGGGAGTTGGACCTGGGATAGCCACTGACTCCGTAGCTCTCGACCATCCTCAGCTGACTTCGTGCGTCCACGCGTCCTGTGCTCTCCTGTACCCCATGCGCTGGGAGCACGTTCTGATCCCCACACTGCCTCCGCACCTGCTGGACTATTGCTGGTGAGGGAGGGGAACTGGGGAAGAGACCTGGGGACTTGAGAGTGGCCCTGCCTGACACCACTCCCTGGTCCGCAGCGCGCCCATGCCCTACCTCATCGGAGTGCACGCCAGTCTCGCGGAGGTGAGTAGGACGGATGCAGGTGTTGGGGACAGGTGGGGGGGACAGGTGGGAGGGACAGGTGGGGGGACCCCTCCCTCTCCATTCCCAGGAAGCCTGGTCTCTGAGCGGCCACCACACCATCTGCAGAGAGTACGAGACAAAGCGCTGGAAGACGTCGTGCTCATGAACGTGGACTCTAATACCTTGGAGACGCCCTTCGACGACGTGCAGGCGCTACCTCCAGACGTGGTCAGTGTCGCTTCCTTCCTCTCGCCCTCCTACCGCATCCCAAGACTGAGGCCCCACATCTGCCCACTAGCCTGCGCTCCTGTCCTCCTCCAGGTGTCCCTGCTGAGGCTGCGGCTAAGGAAGGTAGCTCTGACCCCCGGGGAAGGGGTGTCCCGTCTCTTCCTAAAAGCCCAAGCCCTGCTTTTCGGGGGGTACCGCGACGCGCTCGTCTGCAGCCCGGTAAGCAGCGGGAACGCTAAGGGAGAGACCTCGTGGGTCCCTGAGCACACTAACAGTGTGATCTGACATTTACTATGCACTTCATCTGTGCTCGTCTGTAAAATGGGATTCCAGTAGCAGCTCGGTGTTGCAATTAGCGTATCCACATGACGTTGTTGCTTGATCGTGCCACTGCGTCACTTCCGACTCATAGCGACCCTGTATAAGGTTTCTGAGGAGCGGCTGGTGGATTTGAACCGCTGATCTTGTGGTTCAAAATGACCTTGCAGTCCAGGGCTTATCCTACAGTGCTAGATAGTCATTTACATGTATATGAATCAGCAAATGCATGTACTTCAGCGTATGTAAACTATTTGGAATGGTGCCTGGCACAAAGGTGTTCTCAATATTCTATTATCTCATTTAATGCTCACAACTATATCATGACATGAATACTCTTATGGTTCTATTGCCATATGAGGAATCTAGGCTATGGGCCCCACAGGAGGTCAGAGTGGAAACCACGAGATGACTCTCAAGCCCCCGTTTTCCACAACTTTTCTGTAAGATCATTGGGAGGGTTAGACCCAGTATCTGATGTTCTTTTCGGATATACGTTTAAAATCCGCGCGCTCGGTCCTCTGGCTCCGCGCCATCATGCAACCCTTCATCATCCCTCGCTGGAGTAGCTCAGTCGCCTCCCCTTGGGCCCCTTACCTCCCAGTCCCGTCCTTGCCCCCCAGTCTGTCCTCAGGGCAAGCCAGAGGCGCCGGTAAGCATACAAGTCAGGACCCGTCCCTCCTCTGCTCACAGCCCTCCTGAGTTCCCCGCTCCCTCAGATAAAACCCGAGTCCTCCCAGCGACTCCACAGGGCCGGGCCCACAGCAGGCGCCCAATCAATGTATGAATGAGGTAGAACGAAGAAAACCAGGCAAAGAGGACCACAGTGAGAGCACGGAGCGGGTCCTTCTTCCAGGGCCAGCCTGTAACCTTCAGTGAGGACGCCTTCTTGGCTCAGAAGCCCGGAGCGCGCCTACAGGACTTCCACCGGCGAGCGGTGCACCTGCAGCTGTTCAAACAGGTGCACCAGGGCCCAGAGCTGGGTGGGCGTCTGAATTCCTGGAGGCAGAGCTGAGGGCGGGATCGTGGGTCGTTAGGGGTGAGGCCAGGAATAAGGGGCGGGGCTAGACTGTTCTAGGAGTGGGGCTAGCACTGGGGGTTCTGGTTCCCCTGGGACTGGGGCGGATTCCAGAGCTCCTGAGAGCTGGGCTGGGAGCGGAGAGACAGGGTGCGGTCTCCCGGGTTCCCGGGGGAATGGGAGTAGATTCCTCGGTTTCGGGGGCGGGGCGAGGGCGGGGCAAGTCTCTGGGCTCCTAGGGGCGGGGATGGAGGCGTAGGGACAGGGCGCGGACTCCTGGGTCCCTGAGATGGAGTCGCGGCGAAAGCAGGGTTGGGAGTGACACCTGAGATACTGGGGGTGGGGCTGGAGCCGGTCTGGCGAGGTCCCCACTCCTGGGTCCCTTAAGGGGTCGGACTGGACTCCGGATTTTCTGAGGGATGAGACATACTCCTAGCTCCTTAGGGGAACTAAGGTGGAACCAAGTTCCTGGATCTTCAAGGAGGGACCCCTAGAGAAGTGGGGTCAACACCGGACTCCGCAGGGAGCGGGGCCAGACTGTCAACTCCCTTAGAGGGGAGAAGGGAGAGTTGGGACGCCCAGGTTCCCGGGAGAAGGCGGGCTGGACTCCAGGTCTTTCTAAAAGAGGTGGGGTTCTCGGGTCCCTGAAGGCGGGGTCAGACCTGCTTCAGGGTCAAAGTAGGGTAGCGTCCTACTTCTGGATCCCTGAGGGCAGGTCCTGGGGGTAAGGGTAGAGACAGGTTGGTCCTTTGGCGTCTAGAAGGGGAAGCCCCCAGATTCCGAGGTCCTGGGGAAAGGGGAGGATCAATTCTTGGATGGGGGAGGAGGGAGGGGTGGGGGCGGAGCTGGTTGGTGGCTTCTATAGGTTGAGACCTCACATTCAGATGTGGGTCAAATCTGACCGGCCCCCACCCTCAGTTTATCGAGGGCCGGCTGGAGAAGCTCAATGCTGGGGAGGGCTTCTCAGATCTCTTCGAACAGGAAATCACCTGCACCGAAGCCTCCTCAGGTGAGCCCCAACCTAGTATACACATTTCCCAGCCCACCCTACGGTCCTCCTCCCCCAAGTCAACCTGAGATAACCAACCTCTCTTCTCACTCAGGAGCCCTCCGCTCCTACCAGCTCTGGGCAGACAACCTGAAGGTAAAATACCAGTTACCTACTTGTTATGGAATAAAGTTAATCCTACCACATTCCCGGGGTAGGGCCCTCCTTCTGCACATGAGGAAATTGTGGCACAGAGACAAAGCCTGGTTTGCACAGCATGGGATGGGGAATTAGGGTCTAGGATCCAAATAAGGGGCCCACACTTGTGTCCCTTGGTATGTCTTTGCAGAAAGGAGGTGGTGCCCTCTTGCACTCAGTCAAGGCTAAGACCCAACCAGCCGTGAGGAACATGTACCGCTCGGTAAGGCACGTGGACAAGACACGCTTGGTGATGTGAACAAGGGGACGGGACAAAAAACAGATTAACTCCACAGATACTCAAGTGCAAATCTTTATCAGAACTACACCAGCACTTAAAACTTTTATTCATCTTCCCATTGATTTTCTGTTTCACCATACTATTTAATCAGAATCATTTCTTGTCTATAAAATGGACAGACTCATTGGCAAAAAACTTTTGTCCTCAAATCCTACAATCCCAGTTTCTACCCTTGGGATTTTTTTCTCCCAAGCCCACCTTTCTCACAATGTCCAACTTTTGCAGCCCAGAACTGGCCATTAGATTTTCTTCTTTGGCCTTTTAGCCACTACCATGGACATGTTTTGCACCATTTTTGTTTTTGCCATACCCCATCCAAGTTTTTTTGTTTCTCCCTCCAGGAAAAATAATTTAAAAAAACAAGAACAAAAACTTGTTGTCAATGCCAACTGCAACTCATTGCAACCCCAAGTAAAACTGTGCTCCATGGGATTTTCAATGGCTGCAGAGTTTTTTTTAAGTAGTACATAGCCAGGTCTTTCCTCCAACGTGCCTCTGGATGAACTCAAACCTTTGAACTTGTTAACCATTTGTACCACCCAGGGGCTCCTCCTCCAGAAATACTTTTGAAGCAGCCAGAGGGGCAAAAGCTGCTGTTGCTGTGGTATATGAGGCATCAGTGGACACATTTGTGAAATACGAATGGACAAATGGCAAGGCAGAAAGGCTATAGCTACCCTAAGGAATACAAGGCTTAGCTCTCAAATGCAGACTCAAACCATACATTGGTTTCTCTTTTCTCTATAGGCCAAGAGTGGCTTGAAGGGAATGCAGAACCTTCTGATGTACAAGGTAAGACCAATGGCTAAGAGGTCAAGGAGGGTGGGGATGGATCTCCTAGCTCATCCTACCATTACCCTAGGATGGAGACTCTGGTCTACAAAGAGGGGGCTCCTTGAGAGCTCTCCCCTTCACCAGCCGCTCAGATCGCCTCCAACAGCGTCTGCCAATTACCCAGCATTTTGGACAGGTAAGGATTCCCTCAACCTCCTGCTCCTACACACACCCAAGCAACCAGTTGCCATAGACTCATGACACCCCAGGTGTGTCAAAGTAGAACTTTGTGCTACAGGATTTCAATGGCTGATTTTTCAGATAGATTGCCAGGTTTTTCCTGCAGGTAGACTCGAACATCCAACCTTTCAGTTAGCAGCAGAGTGCATTCATCATTTGTACCACCAAGGGATTCCACATATACCCACATAGCCCTGGAATTATGACTGAATTATCTTTCCATTGTATCCCAAGATGCACTCTCTTCTACCAAACGGCCTGGCTTCCTGTCTCTATATCCCTTTTCTTCATCCCACCTTCCAAATCTGTCCTTTACAGAACCGGCCCCTTCGCCCTAACAGGAGACATGGGTTGAAAGAGGAACCTTCTGAGCCCTCAGGGTATGTGCAGCGTTGGGGGATCAGCACTGATGGGGTGGATGAATCTCAAACCCTACAGCCAGAGGGTTAGAGCTGGGGAGGGATGTCTCAAATGGATACCTGAGGCTGCCCACCCTCACACAGAACGCCCCCTCGGAGCCCTGAGGACACTGGAGGCATATGGGCAGAGGAAACCCTAGATAGCAGCTTCTTGGGGTCAGGAGAACTGGATTTGTTGAGTGAGATCCTAGACAGCCTGAATGTGGAAGTCAAGAGCACAGGGAGTCTGCGACCCAGCCAGAGCTTGGACTGTTGCCACAGAGAGGACATGGACAGTGACTTCAGCCCGGTGAGAGCTCCTGACTTGTCTAGCCGACCCCCTCCCTGACTTGTCTAGCCGCCCTCCCCTCTACAGCGCAGCAACACCTGTCTTCTTCCCACTACTGCTCAGCTCGAGGTACAAGGAAGACCAAGATGGCGCCCTGAGGATGAGACGCTACCAGAACACCACCTGCTGTCCCTGCCCACCCACCTGCCGTCTCTCCAAGACCACCAGACCTCAGATGTCTCAAGCTGCTCAAAGAACCCCAGTTTCCAGCTGCCTGCAGAAGCCAGCCAAGACACCATTTCTCTATCCCCGCCCTTAACCGCCTCTGTAGACCCAAGCTGCCAGTGGCCCCCAGAATCCTCTCCTCTCATTGAGCCCTGCCCCCTAACCCTACATCTCTCCCCTCCACATAAACCAGCAGAAGAATCTAGAGACTGGGAGAGTCCTCACTCCTTGTTGTCCACCATGCCTACCCAGCCCAACCCTCCTGAAAGTCCCCTATCTCTGTCCCTCCCAGAATTCAAGCTTGATATTGCCTGGACATCCCAACTCCAGGACACTTCCTCAGATCCCGATTTCTCAGAGACCCCTAGAGCCCAGACTTCCCAGAGGCTGGGGGTAGAGCAGGCTCACCTCCAGCCCCTCATAGAACCAGGAGCCCCCAGACCCTCTACTGCAACTACCAATGACAGACAGGAGCCTCAGGCCAGAAGCCAACCCCGAGTTGCTGAGCTTAAGAAATGTTTTGAGGGTTAAGGCTCAGAGATCTGGAGGAGACCCCAGGCCCCCAATAAAATCACAAGAGCCCAACATTGTTTTTGGGTTTTTTTCTGGTGAGCTCTCTCTCTGCTTAGAATCCTCACTTGTCACTGTCCCTCTAGCTAATTCCTGGACACAGCTAAAAGTCCTCTTCCTCCAGGACGCCTTCCCAGTTTCACAGTCTATGAGACCTGGTCTAGGCTCCTTCAGGACTAATTCTTGTACCACACAGCTCAAGAGGAAAAAAAAAAAAAAAAAAGGTTTTATTATTATTAGGTCCCTGGGTGGTATAAATGACTAGCAGTTCAAACACACGCAGCATAACTGCAAAAGACGTCTGTGATGATAAAAGCCAAGAAAACCTTAAGTGGTACAGTTCTACCCTGTAGACACATATGGGGTCGTCATGAGCGGGAATTAACTCAACCGCCATGGGTTGGATTTTCGTTTTTGTTTTTTTATTATTATTATATCTCACTATCAATTTCATTTAAAAAAAGGGGGAGAAACGGTGAGCCCCACCCTCCCTGGCTCTCAGGGCAGTATCTTGGAAGCACCTTCATCCCTTCCATTCTTAAGCCCTGGGTGGGTCTCTGTGCCCAGGGAGGGTATGACTTCCCCAGAGTTACACAGCTAGAAGGAGAAAGGATTGGGGAGGGAGGGGACCTAGATGGGCACGCAGCCCCACACCGTCTCCTTCGAGTCCTGGGGGGGCCGGGCCTCAGCTGCGTGGGACAACTGAAAGGAGAGGAGAGGGGTGTTGTAGGGCCGGCATGGCAGCTGGACAGATGGCAGAGCAGATGGTTCAGCAAGCAGGGCGGTGGGTTCCCAGCCCCTGCACCCCAGCTCCAGGTGAAGTCAAGCAGAGGCGGCATGCTGTGAGTGCCCCCCCGGCCCCCCAAGTCCTCTTGAGCTGTCAGAGGCCAATTTCGTGGTTGCAGTTTGCCAGCGAGCACCGGGCAGTTCTGAGCAGCAACAGCAGTGGCGGCAGCAATGGGCCCCAGGGTTCAGATTAGCCGCTCCTCCGGTGGTCGCTTGAGGTTGGGGGGCGGTGGCGCGCGGGCACCCACCTGCTCCTCACTGCTGGGCCGGTAGGTGCCCTCCGTCTGCCGCTTCTCCCGAAGTTTCCGCACCAGCAGCGCCAGCCCCACAGCCAGGAGCAGGGCGGCCAGGATGGAGAAGACCACAATGATGGCGGTGATGGCCCCCTGGGACTGTATGGGAGAAGACAGGGTACCCCGACATCTCAGGCCTTATGTGTGGGTGTAGGGGGTTACCCAGTACCAACTGCGAGGCACCAGCTCCCTTCCCCCTCTCACTCTGTAAGTTCCCACCCAGAGTTCCTGAGCCCCATCTATCCATGTCTGGGGCTCCCTTGATGCCTGCAAGGACTTTGAGCCTCTTAACTCAGTTTCTGAGCTCCTACCTGCCACACCTAAGGAGCTCTGGTAGCGTAGTGGTTACGAATCGTGCTGCGAACCTTAAGGTCAGCGGTTCAAAACTACCAGCCGCTCCGCGGGAGAAAGATGAGACTTTCTACTCCCGTAAAGATTTACACCCTCGGAAACCCTGTACAGGGTTGCTATGGGTCGGAACCGACTTGACGGCACTTAATAACAACAACAACCTGCCACACCTGGGCCTTCCTCTGCACACACCTGTGTGCTTACCCTTTGCCTGATAAACCTCTGGACTTCAAACCCCCTACACGTAACACATTTGGTATTTTTGTCTCCCTGCCTCCTTGGAATCCCAAATCTCTCTAACGTGCACCTCTTGGCCTCCCCATTTGTCATGTCTTGGTGGGAGGTTTCTCCAACTTAGAACCCTCCACTCCCTTCCCCCCATTCACCTGCCATTCGAGGGGTCTAGGCCCTTCCATCAGCTACATATGGGACTCCCAGTTAACATCCCTTCCTGCCCTCCTTCCATGCATACCCGCAACTCACCAGGGTTCCACTGGAGTCAGGGACCGTAGGGGTAACGGTGCTGTTTTCATTTCCTTCAGGGTCCTGTACCAGGGGTGCTGCAGGGTGGACAGGATCAATTAATCCCCCAACTAGTCTTCCTATCTCAACCCTTTGCATCTTTCTTGGGCGTCCCAGCCAAGCCAGGGGGAAAAAAACAACAACCAGTTGCCATAGGGTATTTTCTGACTCATGAAAACACCACCTGCGTCAGAGCAGAACTGTGTGCCCTAGAATTTTTGATGGCAGATTTTTCAACAGTAGATTCCCAGACCTTTCTTCCAAGGTACCTCGGGATGAACTTGAGCTCCCAAACTTTCTGTGAACAGCCCACCAGGGCCCAATTAACATTTCCAGAGACTGAAGGCCATATGAACAGGGACCAACCCAGGAGAGCTCAGCTTTCATCCCCATCAACAACAACAAAACAACAACTCTTTACTTCGGAGACAGAGAAATGCCTCCAAGAGTTTCCAAGGCTGTAAATTTTTATGGAAGCAGATAGCCCTCTGGGTGGGTTAGACCTGCTGCCTTTTTGGTGAGCCACAGAGCATGTGAACCATTTGCACCACCCAGGGACTTGGTTTGCTTATGCTGGGGGGCAGGGGGTTTGTTAGATGGATCCAGAACCCCAACCCCCATAGGCCCTTTCACATCTGGGTGTTCAGGCAGAGTTGTTTGACTCACATCTCCCTTGGGCTCTAGGCCCGGAATCTAAGGGCTGATGGTTGGTTGGGGCCACAGTATGGTCAGTCTGATCAATCCCAGGCAGGCCTCCACGGACTCTCAGGCCGCCCAAGACACTTCAACTCTACCAGGAATTCTTAATGGCTTACTCTTACCCGCCAAGAAAGGATCCAAACATTTTAACCCCCCAGTCCTGTGGGTAGCCCCTCCTCGGCATCACAAGCCCATTCGACAATTCTTGCCCCTCTTTGTGTTCCTAGTAACCAGCACTTCTCAGCCCTACCTCTCCCTTTCCCTCGGTAACCCTCCGCAGGTACCTACTTTGTCCCCAAACCTGGTCCCCGGGGGCTGGCAACAGCGGCAGGCCGAGAGCCAGGAGCAACCCCAGGCCGGGTCTCGCCATGGACTGGGCGACGGGTGGGTAGCGCCGGGAACGGGGCTTCTGGCGCACGCCGCTCCTACCGCATCTCGGGTCGGGGGTCCCCGGCGCCGGGCACCTGGGGGGCGGAAGGAATGAGTCCGGGCGTGGGGAGCCGGGCTGGCCCCGGGCGCAGACCCATGGGAGGGGCGCCAGGCGCCAGGCCACCGAGAGTCCCGCCCCGCCCCTGCCGCCAGAGGTCAGAGATTAAAGATTAACTCCAGGCCGCGCCATCTGGGGCCGGGGACATGAAGGTGACGGGGGCGCCAGGCCCAGCTGCGCGTCCTGCCTGCCTACCTGGCCCGGGCGTCTTCCACCTCGCGCAGGTTCTCGCTCAGGGTCCTTCGCTCGAACCCTTGGTCGTCTGTCGATCGGTCGCTCCGGCCGATTCCCGGCGGCTCCGCCCGCTCACGTGACCCGGAAAGTTTAGTCACTCACCTGTGAGCCGAGCGCACTTCCGGCTTCTGCACCTGAGCCTTGGTGAGGGCGGGGCCGGTGAGGGACGGGGCCAGTAAGGGGGCGGGGCCGCAGCCCGAGCGCACCTGTAACGGGGCTCCATTCCCCCCTGGGAAGGGGAAGCTGCGCACGACTGGAAGAGGACCGTGACACCTGTTTTACAGTCATCTGTAGGATGGTACAGGTGAGACACATGAGTCAGGTAGACACCTGTGTATAGAACATTCCCACCTGGAGCCGACCCAGCTAGGGAGCATCGACTTTTCGAAACATCGCCTGTGAGCTGCATACTTGCATGGGGCTCTGGTAGGTAGTGGTTATGAATCGGGCTGCTAACCTCAGGATCAGCAGTTCGAAACTACCAGCTGTTCCGCGGGTGAAAGATGAAGCTTTCTTGCTCCCATAAAGATTTACAGCCTCAGAAACCCTGTACAAGGTCACTATCAGTTGGAACCAACTCCATGGCACATAACCACCACACCTGTATAGAAAACACCTGCACAGATGTTTGGACTCCTGGTGTGAAGCTATAGGATCAGCGCCGGACTGCAGACTACAAGGTCGGAAGTTCAAACCCACCAGCTGCTCCTCGGAAACCCTATAGAGGATAGCTATGAGTCGAAACTGACTAGATAGCACCTGACAAGAGCATGGATGTTGAGGTGTAAGAGTAACTAGGAGTAACTAGGGAGATAACTGCATTGAATCACATCTACCTGGAGGTCTTAGTTATCTAGTGCTGCTCTAACAGAAATATCACAAGTAGATGACTTCGACAAATTTATTTTATCAAAGTTTCAGGAGGTTAGAAGTCAGAATTCTGAGTGGTCATTGGAGAGAAGGCACTCTCTCTGTGTCAGCTGTGGATAGAGGACGGTGCTTGTCTCCTCAGCTTGTTTCCTGGTTCCTTGGAGATCTTCACATGTCTTGGAATCTGTCTAACCCCATCTCTCTCTAGGTGTTCTTATTTAAATCTCAAAAGAGATTACATGGAAGACACACCCTTCACTAATCCTGTTCATTAACATAACAAAGTAAAACCATTTCCAAATGGGATTCTAACCACAGACAGAGAGGTTCAGATTTACAGCACAGATTTGGGGGCACATAATTCAATCCATGGAGTCCTGGTGTGGCGCTGTGGGTTAATGTGCCAGACTGCAAAGTCAAGTCGTTTGAACTGCAAGGTGGTAGGTGGTTCAAGCTCACCAGCTGCTCCTTGAAAACCCTGTACAGGGTCACTATGTATTGGAATCGACTCGACAGCACCTTAACAATTCAATCCGTAACACTCCAACATTTACCCTACTCACCAAATCCATGTCCTTGCCACAGGCAAAACACATTCACCCCATCACATCACGCCAAAAGTGTTAAATCAACTCCAAGTCCAAAATATTATCTTCTGTATCATCTAAATAAAATATGGGTGGGACTTTAAGTGTATTCCATATTGAGGCAAAATTCCTTTTCATCTGTGAAATCTAGATTACAAATTACAAAGCTGTTGTTAAGTGCTGTTGAGTCGGTTCCGACCCATAGCGACCCTGTACAGGGTTTCCGAGGGTGTAAATCTTTACGGGAGTAGAAAGCCTCATCTTTCTCCTGTGGAGCGGCTGGTAGTTTCGAACTGCTGACCTTAAGGTTCGCAGCCCGATTCGTAACCACTACGCTACCAGAGGTGAAATAAGCACACAGTAGACTTTCCATTACAAATGGGAGGGAACTGGAAGGAAAAGATGGATAACAGTCACCAAGCAAGTCAAAAATCTAACAGAACAATTTACATTAGTTCTCCATGCTGAAAAATAACCCGTTTTTCTCCTGGTGTGGTGCTGTGGGTTAATGCACTAGACTGCAAAGTCGTTTGAACCGCAAGGTCGGCGGTTCAAGCTCACCAGCTACTCTGAGGAAAACCTATACAGGGTCGCTATGGTAGAGGGTCAGAGGAAAAGAGGAAGACCCCAACAAGATGGATTGGCCAAGCGTGACAACAATACTGAGGTTGGCCCAGGATCGGGCAGTGTTTTGTTCTGCTATGCATAAGGTTGCTATGGGTCAGCACCGACTAGATGTCACCTAACAACAACAAAGGGTCAGAACTGACTAGATGGCACTTAACAACAACAACAAACAGTGGCATTGCCCTCAAGACTCTGGGTGTTGCCCAATGCTCTCTGGATTCTGGGTGGAGGGCCCTTGGCCCTGGATTTCACTTCCACCTTCCAAGCCTAATGGGAAGGTAATTTAGCTCCCTCTGCCTTGGATGACCCCATTCTCCGAGTCCATCTGAGTGAAGTTCCCACCCCCTCAGCCAGGCAGACCCTTATTCTTCTGCCCCTTGGGTATGGCAGTCCCCACTCTTTCATCTTTGGGTGCCATCCCCACCCCCAGCATACCTTAAGGGCAGGCCCACACTCCAGAAACAAACCTGACTTTTTTTAAACCTAGGAGGCTGTGGCCCCTCTCTTTGAATCCCAGAAGGCCCTGCTTCCCGTGCTCCTTCCAACATTTCTGCTGATCTCCATGCTCTTCCAGGAATGGTCCTTTTCTTTTCTTGGAGGACTCAAATGTAGCTCCTTGGCTTGTTTCCTGCCTGTAGAATTCCGAGAGAGTTCTTTCCTTTCATTCTTTCTCTATGCACTTCACTATTGGCTGATTGATGGGCCTTCTGTCCTGATAGTTGGTTAGATCCATCCGTCACAGGCTGTCTCTTTAACAAAAGATTGTGTAGCCAAGTCGTTGGTGAACACTCTTTCTCACACATCCTTAGTTTTTACAACAGAATTTTCCAAATCGTTAAGTCCTGCTTTTATTTTGCACAATTCATTTTTAAGCCCGTCTCTTTCCTCTCACGTTTTACTACAAGCGGCAAGGAGAAATCTCTTGGCCCCTTTAAGATCTTGCTTGAAAAATCTCCTCAGCCAGATATCCAAGTTCGTCACTTCCAAGTTCTACCTTCCACCAAACACTTTAAAATAACTCAGACTAGTTTTTGGCCAATTCATGTAAATCACCGCCCTTCCTCCATTGTCCAGTCACATGTTCATCATTTTCTTTTAGCCCCTCACCAGAAACACAAGACATCCACATTTCTAACAATGTTCTGTTGCCGGCACCTTATGTATCATGAAGATGATGGCGATTTTCTCTGTAGCTCTCCTCGCTCCCTTTGAGCCCTCACCAGAATTGCCTTGGATGCTCCTGATTCGGCCAACAGTTTGTCCAAGGCCATCTAGGTTTTTACTGTTAGGCACTTTAAAATGTTCCCATCCTCTACCCACTTAGCCAATTCCAAAACTGCTTCCGTATTTTAGCTATCTGTTAGAGCAGCACCCCAGGCTCCTGGTGCCAAACTGCCCTGGTTCTCTGGTGCTGCCATACCAGAAACACCAGAAGTGTATGTTTTTAACAAACAGAAGTTAATTTTCTCACAGTTTGGGAGACTGCTGTTGTTATAAGATGCCTTTGAGTGGCTTCTGCCTCAAAGTGACCCTATGTACCACTGCCCAGTCCTGTTCCAGTCTCACAATT